TGCACACTTTTATTTTTTGGTGTATGTACCTTCTGCCACATCTTTGAACAGATCAAACTTGATAAAATTCTTAAAAGGTTAAAAGAAAAAGTGAAAAATGAAGAAATATTTAAAAAAGGTTTCTTTTGAATCCGTACACCAAACTTTTTAAAGAAAAGCAAACAAGATATCACTTGTAACTTGTAAGAAAAATAAAAATCGTTGGGTTCTTCTTACCCCATTTTTCTCATTCCCTTTTGTATTTCATAATCTTTTTCCCCTTTCTCTCTCTCATCATTGTCACACTTTCATTTCTTTTTTATATTCTTTCACTGTCGCTTTTTCTGCCTTTATCTCAGCCATGCTTTCTCTCTTTCTTATCTCTTTATCAGTCTTTCTCTTTCTCTTTTTCCATTTTTCTTTCTCTCCTTTCCTCACCCTCTTGCTGTCCTCCCGAGAAATGTTTTCCATTCCCACAACTCCACCGTTTCACAAGCCACATCTTCTCTCCGTGCATGCAGGCACACACACACACACACATATGTGAGGCAGTGTGGTGAAATCAGGCGCGCGTCAAAATAATCAAGATTCAAAGTGAAGAAACTGGAATTTTCCAGCAAGTTTGTGAATTTCTATCAAATTTTTGTTTTTTGGCTCAACACCTTTCGTGTCCAGGAAAGAACACATTTCTGAGTGAATTTTACTGAAAAACATTGATTAAAGGCATCAAAATGTGCATCTTCAGTTTCCAACGACTCTCAAGCTAAGGAAATAACTAAAGTTCGGCGGCCATTTTCTCGCCAATTTTACCTCTGAAACCAGGTGACCTTACCTCCTTCAATCGCCAATATCTCGATTTGTATCCAAGATATAAGGATTTTTTTTTCATCGGAAGCAAGACAAACGAATAAGCTTTAAGCAGATTCCAACAACTCATCATGTCCAAAAATTGACGAGCGCCTGATTCAACCACGTCCTAACACCTATAAGTATATGGTCGCTTTTAAGGACAAGCGTGCTAACCCATATTTCGGGGGCTTCCAGAAATCTTGACCAACACCAAAAGTGGTCATTGCCCAACCTATAGGAGAAGTTCGGTTTCGTTGGTGTGTATATTTGTTTGGTTACAGAGAAAACTCTCCATATCCTTTAAAGAAACTGAACAATGGGCAAAAACGTTACCTTCAATTTTCTCAAAACAGCATTTTTCGGGATAGCCCCCTTGTGCATAAAAGCGACCATATGTAGGCATACATATCTACACACAAAGATACCAGTGTGTAGCCAGCTATCTGCACACATGCGCGTGTGCACACACACACAGACATCGATGGTAACTGTCTCAGACTATCCGTCCCCGTGGTTTTATGCACCCCACATAATTTGGCAAAATTTGGTAATTTTTTGGGCATAATTTCTGATTATTTTCCTTTATAATTCTTTGTTAAAATTAACAGAATCACGTAATTTCACATTTCTGGGCTCAGCTTTCATAATTTCATAATTTTTTTTGCATAAAACCCTGGGGACAGGACTATGTAAGTCTGAAATTAGGTAAAGTTTTAAGTTTGTCTGAACAGATAGCTTAGAAGAATTCCTCTTGCATAAAGTTTCAACTTAGCTCAAGATTACAGAGGGAAAATGACAACAAAAAACATGGGTGCAAAATGTGTATATGCCCATTATGGCACGCATACTATTCTCCATGAAAGTAGTAATTTTGGACATACTTTTCTCCATGAAAGTGGTAATTTTGGACATACTTTTCTCTATGAAAGTAGTAATTTTGGACATACTATTCTCCATGAAAGTAGTAATTTTGGACATACTATTCTCCATGAAAGTAGTAATTTTGGACATACTATTCTCCATGAAAGTGGTAATTTTGGACATACTTTTCTCCATGAAAGTGGTAATTTTGGACATACTTTTCTCCATGAAAGTACAGTGGAAACCATATATAACAGGCCCGGTAATAACAGGGATCCGGTAATAACAGGGATTTTTAAAATCCCTGTTTTTTCGTACTCTTTGTCTCTATTAAAAGTTATCGGCAATAACAGGGCCTCATCGCAGCCCAACCGGTTATAGCAGGGACAAAGGCTCGTTAACAATGTGGAGAGAGAGAGAGAGAGAGAGAGAGAGAGAGAGAGAGAGAGAGAGAGAGTAAGAGAGAGAGAGAGAGAGAGAGAGAGAGCGAGAGAGAGAGAGAGAAAGAGAAAGAGAAACGCAGTGATGGAGCAAGCCCACGCAAGCCATGCCACTGCAAGCACACGCAGCCAGCGTGTGAAGCGAGTGAGGGCTGAGGTGTGCTGCAAACCTCGATCTAGCCGAAACCTAGCAACACACACGCGTAATGTGTCACCAACGATGTCAAGCGCACGAAAAAATGCCTTTCAATAGACAAAAAATACGAAATAATCCAGGCTGTTTGACAAAAAGCAAGCTACACTGGCAGAGATTGGTCGTCAGTTCGACATGCCACAAGGGTCGATTCACACCATTATCAAGGATAGAGAGAAGATAGTGGCAGCATACTCCAATGGAAAGTTTGCTCTGGATTGAAAGAAGATGAGACTACCCGATGCAGATGCAAGCTCTTCTGATGTGAGGCAATGGAAAAAGTTGGTGCCAAAACCCCTGTTCGTGGGTACTTGTGGCAAAGGAAACTACCCATGAATAAGTACAGCTGGATTAGTCCACAAATGCTTACTTTCCTTGCATTCTGATTTAACAGGGATCGGATATAACAGAGCATTTTCTCTACTCCCACTATCCCTGTTATATCAGGTTTCCACTGTAGTAATTTTGGACATACTTTTCTCAATGGAAATAGTAATTTTGGACATACTTTTCTCCATGAAAAGTAGAAATTTTGGACTTGCACGGCTTGCAACAGGTTTCCACTGATATACATGAACACTCAAACACACGCTCCCTATGTGTGTATATATGCACACACACACACTTTCACAAAATCATATCATATACATACACGCACACACACAGACACACGTTCACTTTCACAAAATCATATACATACACGCACTCACAGACACACAGACACGTTCACTTTCACAAAATCATATACATCCTGATCCACGCACACACACAAACACACACGTTCACTTTTACAAAATCATGTACATAAATGCACTCACAGACAACTTCACACACTCACCACCCTACACACAACCGTACACACTCACAACCACTCTGTAGGTCACATGAGGCTACACTGTGAAGGGTCCTGTCCGCTCCCAAGATCGCCCATACCAGGTATCTGTGGAGATAATGATAACAATAACAACACTAATTATAATAATAAATCATCCATCAATGTCTGACAATAACCATCTATCTGTCCCCGTGGTTTTATGCACCCCGCATAATTTAGCAAAATAATTATTTGTTCATTTTTTCCTAATTTCTGATTATTTTCCTTTATCATTCTTTGTTAGAATTAACAGAATCGCATAATTTCACATTTTTGGGCTTAGTTTGCATAATTTCAGAATTTTTCTTGCGTAAAACGACGGGGACAGATCTGTAGAGCAGGGAGGTAAACAGGTTTTGAAAAAAAAGCCGGAAAATAAATAGCGCGCGCGCACTGACTGAAATAAAAATACAGCGAGACTAAATTATATTTGTTTCTTTCCCTCTATCACAACAAATAATCTCTATTTAGTATATATAATATGTACTGTTTATAGCAGACTTTTGTTAAAAGCTGGAGTCCAAAAGGCAAGTCAGCCTGAAAACCCCCCCCCCCCTCCAGAAAAAGCCAGAAGATTTACATCCCTGATAGAGAACAAACACACATAGAAAAAAAATCCCTCAGTCTGCCTCTGCCTATCTTTCCATCAAACTTGCCTGTTGTTACAATATTCTCCAATGCTTCTTTCCGGATTGTGTGTCGAATGAAATTTGCCTGTCGCTTTCGTATATTCGTCAAAAGCTGTCGTCTGCCATTTGCTTCAACCAAGATTTTTTCATTTGTTTTTCCGGCCGTCCATGGGATACGCAGTATGCGTCTTATGAACCACAACTCTGTCGCCTCAATTATTCTTTCCGGCTGTCTATTGATCGACCATGCTTCGCACCCGTATAATAGAATTGGCATCATATAACAATGCAAGAAAAACAACCCTAAAACAAAGACACAATAATGGTCTTTTCATGAAAGGAGAAAGCAAAGCTAAACACCTTTCATGCTCATATGAAAACACATTTCCACGTGAATTTTACTGGAAAACCTTGATTCATCATCATCCAGTGCCAGATCTGCGACAGACATCGGTGATCATGGTTTTCCATTTATTCCTTTGCTCGAAAGCTCTAAATAAAGCTACGTTTCCCTGATCTTTCGCTGTTACCCATTTGTTTAGGTTCCCTAAGTATGTTGTTCTGGGCCTACCCCTGCCTCGCTTGCCCTCAATTTTGCCAGTGAGAGCGAGATATTCAAGACCCTTATGTCTATTCAGGTGTCCCAAAAACTGCATTTGTCATTTCCTGATTGTTTTTAACATTGAGCGTCCCACGTGGGTTTCATCAAGCACTACTTCATTTGATTTCTTTTCCTTCCACGATACTCTTAGCAGTCTCCTAAGAAACCCCATTTCTGTTGCTTCTATTTTATTTTCACTGTCTTTAGTGATTGTCCAGCATTCACAGCCATATAGAAGGGTTGACCAAACATAGCATTTTAGGTCTTTCATTTTGGTGTTCATTGAGATGTCTCTATTTTTCAGGATTGGGCCCATTTTTATTGAAACTAGCCTTAGCCATTGTAGTTCTCCTTTTTATTTCTGTGGAACATTTGGCGTCAGATGTTTTCATATATCCTATATATTTAAACTGTTGGACTTTTTAAAATCTTTTCACCTTTGCTAATGAGATTACAACTAGGGTTTGCTGCTTTTTTGGATATTCTGTTTTCTTTACATTCAACAATAATCCTTTACGTTCACTTTCTGTTACAACAGTATCTAGAAGCAATTGAAGGTCCTTTTCGGAGGCCACTATTAAAACTGTGTCATCTGCCTACCTGATGTTATTAATATTTTCTCCATTTACTTTGAGGCCTGGACATTCTTCTATGTTTCTAAGAATTGTTTCACTGTACATGCTAAAGAGGTCTGGTGACATTATAACACATCCTTGCCTCACTCCTCGCCTGATCTGCTTATACTCACTGTATTCTCCATTAATTCGTACAGCAGCGTTTTGGTCCCGCTACAAATTTCTGATAACTCTTAGATCTTTTCCATCTATGTCTAGCTTTTCCAGTATTTTAAACAGCTCATCATGTCTAACTTTATCAAACGCCTTTGAATAATCTATGAAGCATAAATACAGATCTTTCTGGGCTTCAATACATCTTTCCATTAACATTGTTAAGGTGAATATAGCATGTCTGATGCCCTTGTCAGGAAGAAAGCTGAATTGCGTTTTAGATATCTCTGGTCTTACACTTTTTCTCAATCTTCCCATTATTACTCGCAGCAATATTTTTGTAAAATGATCCATAAGGCTAATTGTTCTATGCATATCACACTCAGTGGCACCTGGTGTTTTAGGTAAAGCTATAAAAACTGACTTCATCATATCTTCTGGGATCTCACCGCTGTCATAAACAGCATTTAAGAGCTTTGTGGTTATTTCAGTGCCTAGTTCTTCAAGCGCGACAATCACTTCAACTGGAATATTATCTGGCCCTGAGGCTTTTCCTTGTTTCATTTTCTTAATGGTAGTAGGTAGCGTAAACACGGCCTCGCGGGCACTCGCGGCCTTCCGACCGCGTGGTATCGGTGAAATCGGGGTAATTCCGATCGCTGTTTCTTTGCTCTCTTGCTATAAAACACCAAATGCCGCGCACCTTGTAAAAGTTCAGCTTTTCCTCGTTACAATGGTGTAAGTTGTTTATATGTCCGATTATTACGAGCTGGAGAATCACCGACGAAAGCGAAGCCCCTCGCAGTCGGAATGTGTGGTCGGCCGGTTCAAAAATTGACATGAGTGCTTTCAAATGCTTCGCGGAACGAGCGATGATTAAATACCGTCTTTTCATGGGCGGAGAACTGTAGAGCTCTAAACGGCTTTTCCTGTCGTATATTTGGCCTTTGTCGTTTAAATAGAAAGCTTTTAAAAATGCTGTCAAAATGTTTAAAGATCACTTTTTACACAAAATATGTAAAATACCGGCTTAAAAAAGGCATTAATCAAAAGATCAGTTTATTTTCTATTAGAATAAAGTAATTAGCTTGGAATTATTTTACATCAATCCTCCCGCGAGACTCGGAAAGCATGTGACCCCGCACGCGGGGTACACTACAGTATAAGCCGACTCGCTCGACGCGGGGGCCGGTGCGGCGCCGGCCGGGTCAACGCTCGGTGTTTTTGTCGAAATAACGACAGATCATCGTGTTTGAAGTGTTAAAATACTGATTTGTAATGATCTCACAGTCTTGAAAAAAATTAGGCTCCATATATTTGTTATAGTGATTGTTCTCTGTTAATGTGGAGATGTTTAGTGCACTTGGTACTCTTTTATTGTCTGTCAAACATGGGGTTGCAGCCAGTGACTGACTTTAACAAATTTGATCAAAGTTTAAACAACTACAATTTTCTT